GGACTTCTGGAATATAGTTATTGCTAAAGAACAGGACTGGGATAAAATTTGCAGAGAAGTTGTGAACCGCAGTGAGGGGCAACTTATTTCCATCAAACTAGGCTACTTTGCTACTGATGATCTGCTCTTCTACATTGCTCAGAGGTATATATATATATATATATATATATATATATATATATATATATATATATATATATATATGCGTTTTATATTTTCCAGTTTTATGCTGTACGTTCTTCTTTTGGTTGTTTGATTAGGGTAATAAATTTATATATATTAACATCATATGAGAACATTTCCTATATGGAAGCTGGTCCATGGAAAATTATCACTTGTGGGAAACAAATTATTATATCTTTCTTGTTTCTTTTAATCCCTTGCTCTTAATTAGTACGTATTCCTTAATCTTAGTACGTATGTGCTTTTGTTGTTGTTATACAGAGCAAAACAGCTGAGACATCTTGGTATTTGGTCCAGACATGTTTCTGATGAAGGTTTTAGTAAAGCCGTTAATGAGTCTCCACTGTTGGAAGAGCTACAACTTGAATACACTTTCATTTCTAAACAAGGAATTGAAGCTGCTGGACAGTCTTGCCCTTTCCTCAACTCATTTTCCTTTATCAAGAAGGTAAGTGGATTCCTAAACGAACCATATGATGAGGAGGCTGTTGCCATTGCAGAAAACATGCATGGGTTGAAACACCTTACACTTTATGGAAATCAAATGACAGATAAAGGCGTGGAGGCCATCCTTGATGCTTGTACTCTCCTTCAATCTCTCAACTTAGACCACTGTGATCATGTTAGCCTTGAAGGGGAATTGGGGAAGATATGCTCTCAACAGATTAAGGACCTGAACCACCTTCAAAATCCTTGTGCTTTTTTTCACGATCCTTATTGGAGCACTGTGCTAGCTTGTATACTCGGACTGTGAGCACTATATATACTTCAATTTCCTGCTCTACAATCTCAATTTGTCTTCTTTTTTGGACTCATCATCAGGATTTATTGTTCTTAATTTTACGTCTTAAATTGTGCGTCTTGGTACATTATTTATTAAGATATGGAGTGTTGTTTGCATCTTACCCACATTTCACATTATATTCCTCATCTGTCTTAACTGATTACAATATCAATACCAATATGCATAATGAATGGCTGAACCTGAACTAGTATGTCAAAAATATATACGCTTTGTGCAACAAATACTTAGTACATAAAGCCCTCAAAACAAGCTTAGCATAACATCTCCAATCGTTATACCGTGCACCAAGGCGCACATAGCACTGTGTGATCCGCGCCTCCCAAAACGACATCGTTTTGTTAAGTTGTTAAAAAAAATCATCTGTTCCGAATGCACATAAATTCATAACAGAATACACATAATCTAACATAATACATAATACACATAAACTCATAACACAATATACATAAACTTTTAATTGAATACGCATGGGTTTGGTTAACATAATACACAAACTCTTAACTGAATACAGATAAACTCATAACACAATACACATAAAATTTTAACTGAATACACATAATGAGGTTTGGTCTGTTCGGAGGGACGGAGTGATGTTAATATGACATCAGCATGAAACGCACGCGTTTTGTGCCTGGGCTCACATTACTATGTGCGTCGTGGCGCACGATATAAATTGCCTAACATCTCACCCTGCGAAAAAAAAAAGGTCGAGCTTTAAATTTTAAGGTCTGTTAGAATGGTGGGCTTTTTAGCCCGTCTTATCAAATGGCGGACTTTAGCTTGCCAAGGCTTGTCTAATTCATTTCACCTTTTAGACTCAATACTACTTAGATTACAAGCAAAATCAACACCAAACTTCACAACAAAAATACTTGGTATATAGAATGTAGTCACTATTTAAAAAAGTGTATGCACAAAATACGTGAGAAATAATTTAACTCGAAGGTTAATATCAATTCAATAAAACAAATTAAAAAAAAAAAACACACACAGAATCAAGTACTACACTCATTCTTACTAATTCAAAAAATATAAACTTGAAAATGAACATGTGTAAAATGGATGTGGAAATTATTAATGAAACTAAACACGTTACAATATCAATATCCGGACTACCTGCAGAGTTATTTTTGTTACTATCAAGGTGATGGATTGTTTTTTTTTTTTTTTTTAATGTTTTGATTTTTAAAATTTTAAATAATTATTTAATTTAAAGGGAAAATTGTAAAAAATGTCCCTCTATAATATGGCAATTATCAATGTCACTCCTGAATTATGAGTGGTGTAAATATTGCCCTGCAATTATCAAAACAGTGCACATATAACTCCTCCCGTAACGGACCGTTAGTGTACACCGTTAAGTCGGGGTAAATATGCAATTTAGTTGTTTTTTCCTTTTCCTTTTTTTTTTTTATATATATATTTTCCCTTTGTTTTTTCCTTTTTCTTTCTCGGCCTCAACAAACAATAGTCTGGCAGCGAGCAGCGATGAAGGTGGACTCGATTGGTGGCGTCCAGTAACGGCGGCGACGGACGAGCTCCGGCGAGACCCTCCCTCGATTCGAAGTACTAGCGATGGACATCGAAAACAAGTCCAGCGACGTTCTCTGTTTCTAGCGTGAACGACAGCTACGACGACACCAAACTCGGACCTTGGTTCGTCTTCTTCTAGCGTGAACAAGACGAGGCAGCACGAGTGCACGACAAAGGGAAAATATAAAAAGAAAAAGGAAAAAACAACTAAATTACATATTTACCCGACTTAACAGTGTATACTAACGATCCGTTACGGGAGGGACTATATGTGCACCGTTTTGATAATTAAGGGGCAACATTTACACCACTCATAATTCAGGGGTGACATTGATGTTGGGCGTCGGCCGGGTTGGCCGAGTTCAGCCCCTGCTCGATTCGAGACGTGGCGCTGTGGCTTACCATGGAGAGATGTGGTTAAATGGTTAATGTCCACCTACTTATCACCAATTGGTTTTAAGTAGGATACGGAAACCAGGTACCATAGAACTCTGTGGTCAAGCATGCTTGACTTCCGGCAATCCCGGGATGGGTGACCCCCTGGGAAGTAAGCATAGTGCAGCGCTGAGATCCAACAATTGGTATCAGAGCCGAGGTCACGGGTTCGGATCGATGGCGAGGCGAAAGCCGAGCCCAATCCCAGGTGGGATGTGGGCGTAGGTCGGGCCAAGCCCGAGTCAAGCATGCTGCGCGACTGGGCTTGGTGATCAAAGGTTGCGGCAGGTGCTGGGAGGGGGATTGTTGGGCGTCGGCCGGGTTGGCCGAGTTCAGCCCCTGCTCGATTCGAGACGTGGCGCTGGGGTTAAATGGTTAATGTCCACCTACTTATCACCAATTGGTTTTAAGTAGGATATGGCAACCAGGTACCATAGAACTCTGTGGTTAAGCGTGCTTGACTTCCGGCAATCCCGGGTGGGTGGCCCCCTGGGAAGTAAGCATAGTGCAGCGCTGAGATCCAACAATTGATAATTGGCATATTATAGAGGGGCATTTTTATAATTTTACCTAATTTAAATTTATTAAAATAATATTTCTAATTTTAATACCTAATTTTTTGTGTAACTAAGTTTGTTATTCAACATTGATATATATTTGTGAGATTAACTATTGGTAATTTGGACGGCAGAGAATACTAACTGGACTCATATGACTCTATATATATGTGTGTTATGCATATTGATAAGTGCTTATTTGTCTATATTTTTCACCCTTTTCACTAAGCTATTTTGCATATAGATCATTTCAAATTCAATGAGATTAGGTCTAAATTGTGTTATTTTGCAAGGAGTTTGGTTTGAAAAGCTTTGGAAGCAAAAATGAGTAGTTTCATGCACTTTGGTGGTCATTGGAGTCAAAAGAAGCGTTTTGGATGGATTGGGAGTCAATGGGATTCAAGGAGAAGCTAAGAGGATGGAAAAAACACTTCCAAGTGAGCCTAAAAGTGGTGCTTTCAATGGTCTTGGTCATTTGGGCAAACCAAAGCAAAAGAGGAGCAAGCGATCATGCAATTGCAATTTCCAACCTGCATGTCAACGTCATAGTCTTTGGACCATATCGTGAGCTACAAATATCCAAATTATGTTATTCGTATCCCATTGGAAAGAAGACTCAAAGGTCTACAACTCATATTCAGACATCAAAGCCTAAAAAGGAAGCCCCAATGGTCAAAATCATCCTTGAAGTTGAAGTTCCAAACTTACAGATTTCGCCCAAAACTGTCCACTGTTTGGTAATTTGACCATATATCGGCCTAAGAATGTCCAAATGAAGTGATTCTTACGCCATTTGAAATAAGACTCGAAAGGCTACAACTTTCATGAAGACATCAAAGCCTAGTTCTAAAGGAAACAGGGTCAAAATCAGCCTACAAACTGATATTATGTTGCAGAGAGCCACTCGACGCGTCGAGAATTGGCAGTGAGGTCACAATTACAGTCTGTAAATGCTCGACACGTCGAGAATTACTCTCGACACGTCGAGCCCCCCGCCTTTGCTCCTTTTTAGCTGATTTTTCACTCGTTTTTACTCGTTTTTTAACTCCATTCAAACCCTAACTATTTTCTACCCTTTCATTTCATATTTTAGTGTTAAGATTAGGTGTAGATTTAGGTTCTTTATCATATTTCAAGCTTGTATTGAATGATCTACACTTGGATTTCAAGATTCTACCATCATTTCAATAGATAATCTTTTTTTTCCCTTTTATCTCTTTATCTTGCAATGTTTATGCTTTACACTTGTGTTTTTGTGTTCTTTATGCTATTTAATCATGAGTAGTTAGTTTATGGACTTGAGTTAGGGTTGTATTTTCTATCTTGATACTTGATTTGTGATTATTGCAAAAAGGGAAGAACTCTAACCTAGGGGTTCTTGAGTTGATGAATTGGAAGGATTTGTGTTTGTATATTGTTAATGCTTGGTGTACACATTCATTAGCATGTTTTGGAGGATTCTTGGCCTCAATGAGAGTTGGGTTAAGATTCCAAGCCACTCCTTGCATAAACCTGATTTTTCCTATGAAAGGAGGAAATTGGGGATTTTAGATGCTTTGTGTTCTTGAAGAACTTAGAGTTGATTCACCACGAGAGTGGGGCAATTCCTTGTTCTAATCCTTGTTAATTTGCTCACATGAGTGACTTATAGATTAGGATTCCTACGTGCATCCTCTCAAACCCTTGGTTGTGTGATTTTCCTCAATCCTTAGGTTGTGCTATGCATCTAGACGATAATGCTCCCTAGCTTGAGTCCGATTTCTTTATTTTGTGTTTATATATTGTTAATTTGTGTTCGTGTTATTTTGTTTAGTTACCGTATCCTTGAAACTTCTTATTTCCTTAGCTTCTTGTTGATTTCCTTATGCTAGTGCCTAGTTTATTACGATTGCATATTGCGTGTCATAACCCCAATCCCCTGAGGACGACATAACATACCCGAGCTCACATCTTATTTTTGCTACACATCACATATGTATCACATAATCTATAAGTCATGAATGGTTGGATAGAAGATTTTTTAAGTGAGTTAATTCCAGCAATGGTCTCCCGAGTATGATGATTTTCCCGATTTGGTCCTAGACTTTTAATTTGGACAATTTAACCCCCGTCTATTAAATTTTTTCCAATTGAGGTCCTTCCGTCAATTGTTGGTTAAGTGAGCGTCAATTTCAGGGGCAAATGGGTACTTTTACTTACTAAACGTATTTCTCCTCTTCATTCCACCATATATACATGCTTTGAGCAACACATACTTGTACATAAAGCCCTCAAAATAAGCTTAGCATAACATTTCACCCTGAAGAAAAAAAAAAAGACGAGTCGAGCTTTGAATTTTATGACCTGTTAACATTGTGGTCTTTTCAGCCTGTCTTATCTAGGGTCGGTGCCAGGATTAAATAGTGCGAGGGGCAATTATGATTTAAGAGTAAATAATTAAATTTAAATACATTAATACTCGTTTAACATATTTTAACTTAGATTACATTATTTTATTACAAATCTACTAAAACTGAGTAGCAGACTAATATTTTATTCTCAGTACTGTGCCTGTTTCAAATTAATATCTATCTTATATATCTTTTTCATTGTTTATATAATCACCTCCTTCTTTGACGGAGATTGAAGCCACAATTAATGCAGTTATTCATAGAATGCTGTTTGACGAGAAATGAAAATACACAATACAATAATTCATCAAGGCATGGTTCACGGAAAATAACTTCCAAGGAAAATGTTTTCCTGAAATTTGAGGAAAACAAGAGTTTTCTATGTTTGGTGTAGCAGACTAATATTTTATTCTCAGTACTGTGCATGTTCATCATGATATATACATACATGCATACATACATACATACATATATATATATATATATATATATAATCACCGTATGCTTTAGCTAATCTTTATTAATTCTCTGTTTCAAATTGATATCTATCTTATATATCTTTTTCATTGTTTATATAATCACCTCATTCTTTGACGTGGGAGATTGAAGCCACAATTAATGCAGTTATTCATAGAATGCCGCTTGACGAGAAATGAAAATACACAATACAATAATTCATCAAGGGTATGTTTGGTTCACGGAAAATAACTTTCAAGGAAAATGTATTCCTGAAATTTGAGGAAAACAAGAGTTTTCTATGTTTAGTTAATGGAAATTATTTTTCAATGGAAAACTAATTCATCATATTTGAGGAAAACAAAATTTGAGCTTGGACCTGCTATTTTGTTTTCCAGGGAGGTGAGAAAAAAGATTGAGCTGGCCGGACTAGATTACCCTCATGCTTCTTTTTTGATTACATACATATAAATAGCAAACAATGGACATATGGGTCTTTATACACATTATTCCTTACAATCACAAATCCAACTAAACAATGGAATCAATATTTTCAGTAACTTCTTTTTCACCAACCAAACAATGGAATTTATATTCCTAGTAACTACTTTTCCCGTGGAATTTCAATTTTATTTCCTTTCAAATATTTTCCGTGAACCAAACGAGTCCCAAAAGATTCAAAACTTCAAAGATATATGAAAAAATATAATGACCAGATTACTCATTGAAAAAGATAGGAATAAGGGTCAAATAGGCCATCAAACCACACACGATAATGGAAATAGGCCACTGAACTCAAAAAAGTTACAATTGAGTCCCTAAACTAACCCATTTCAAGCAATTTGTTCAATTTGCAGGTTTTCCCCTTTCTAACAGGTCACCCAATTTAAAAATTTTTTAAAATTGTTTTTTTAAAAAAAAAATTAATTAAAATAAACTAAAATTTAAGAAAAAAAATAATCGTCTTCACCGGAGATGAAGGTCCCTTCTTCGTCTCTGGCCGATACCTTCGTCTCCATGGCCAGAGACGAAGAGTCTCTTTGTCTCCATGGCCAGAGACGAAGAGTCTCTTTGTCTCCATGGTCGGAAACGAAGAGTCTCTTCGTCTCTGGCTATGGAGACGAAGATACCTTCTTCGTCTCCGGTGGAGGCATGTTTTTTTTTTTAAATAAATAATTTTAGTTTATTTTAATTAATTTTTAAAAAAAATATTTTAAATTGGGTGACTTGTTAGAAAGGGGGAAAATCTGTAAATTGGACAAATTGCTCGAAATAGGTTAGTTTAGGTACTCAATTGTAGCTTTTTTTGAGTTCAGTGGCCTAATTGCATTATTGTGTGCGGTTCGATGACCTATTTGACCCTTATTCCAAAAAGATAAGAATTGATATTGTGAAAGCCTAGAAAATTGGAAACTTAGTCTGCAAGATTGATTAGGAGGGGCCAAAAATTAAGTATTATACTAAAAAAAAAAAAAAAAAAAAAAAAAAAAAAAAAAAATTGGAGGGGGAAGGGGCCCCTGCACCATGCAGGTGGCTCCGCCTAGGGTTGTGCATCAGACGGTTCGGGCGGGTTCGGTTTTCGGGAATGGGAATCGGATCGGTTTTCGGATTACAGCTATTAAACCCTATCCGTGTATTTTCTAAGTGTAAACTTATCGGATATATAAATCTCGGATTTCGAACGGTTTGCATCGGATTACGGACTAAATCGGATATGTATTAAAAATTCTTAAAAACTACAAATTAACTACTGAATAAGTAAATCAACACTAAATAAGTTGTAACTTGTTAACTTCTAAGTAGTAAGTATTAACTACTACTAGTAGTTAACAATTTACAACTTCAAAATCACAAGTTCACAAATCACAACTAAAAAGTTAGCCCTATTCGGCCATGCCTAATGCCCCTATAAGGCTAACAGCTAACAAGTAACTTGTTACAAGTTAATGAAGCTAACAACTTTACAGCTTACAACTTACAAGTTACAATTCAAAAATAAAAAACAGTTTATAGATTCAAATTCTCAAAAAATAAGCTGTTAAGGCACCATTCAAAAACCAAATGCAGCAACAGCAACTCAGGCACTCAGCATTCCTCATCTTCCTGCTTAAGGTGCAAATTTAAATAGAAAATAACAAAAAGAAAAAAACTGAAAAGAATAACAGTTTAACATTTTATGCTCAAAAATCCAAAATAGGCTCAGATTGCTGTTGTTTCATATCATTAAGATTTGAGGGAAATTGCTTCTAAAGTTTTGGAACTAAATCCAAAATTTGAGCAACATACCAACCCCAAGTCCTTTGATTCAGACAAAGGTGGAAGCATAATCATAGCCCATACTACTGCACATACTTGTCAAGCTGTAACCTGATGTTCAAATGTTCAATCAAGTGGAACTGTGGCAGGGGCTGAGGCACTAAAATGCACTTACATAATTGAATTCATAAGCCATAAATAAAAACAGAATGGTAATCTAATTTTCTAAGAGAACACAATAACAACTAAATATAAAACTGAGAGCAGAATGAATGAACATTACTGCAATGGTTGGTAGGGAAGTTCCAGCAGTCCTAACTCCAGTTGGCAACTCTGCAAATAAAAAACACATATTAATTATCATACAAAAAAAAATACATAATAATAAGTATCATAAAATAAATACATAATAATGAAAGTATTTAAGTAAACTACTATTACATTTCTCAAGCCTTTCACAATCATCAATATTTTCTTCAATTTGAATAGGTTGATTTGGTAATCTCAACCAATCATGTGTACAAATTAAAGCTTCCACAATCTTAGGAGTTAAGGAACTCCTAAATGGATCCAACACTCTACCACTGGTTGAAAAAGCACTTTCAGAAGCCACAGTGGATATTTGAACTGCAAGAATATCCCTTGCCATTTTAGAGAAAATTGGCAGTCTTTCAGAGTTCACCTTCCACCATTTTAGAATATCAAAATCAACCTTATCTTCCACAATGGCCTCACTCAAATATATTTGCAGGTCAGTCTGTTTAAGGCTTCCACCACTCTCCATCCTTTGCCTTTTCAATTGAGATTTCAACTTACCTTGTGGCCTACCAACAGTTACAGCACTAGGCTGCACACTCACAGAGACAGTTTGAGAAGGTTGGGCAACAGCAGTTGGTTCAGTGTTCACATCCACAGAGTAAGTGGCAGCATAATCATTGTACAGCTCAAGAAGTGCAGATTGGACTTTCTCAAAACAGGCTTTGCCTTTATCATCACCATAAAGTTGAGTTAACTGGGCAGGCATGTACTCAACCTTATCTCTAGGATCCAAAATAGTGCCAAAGAAGATCACACAGTTCATTTTTTCAGGGTCCCCCCAATATTTCAGAAACTTAGTTTTCATTTGGGTGTCCATTACCTGTAAAAAAGCAAATAATTAACATTAGTTAATATACAGATTTGTTAAACAGTAAACATTTCAGTTAAGGAATGGAATTTACCTTTTCAGATCCAGATTCACCACCAGTCATGTCATCTAACATAAAGAGAACCAGAAATTCTCACAGTCATGTCATAGAAAGTTTTTAGCAGAGTTACCAAACTATTCACATCAAACCAATCCATAAAAGTAGGCACAGAGGTACCAAGGTCATCAGAAAATGAGGGATCATTTCCCAAATAGGCATCAAAGACTGCCTGGTACTGGATTGCAGTGTTCAACATCATATATGTGTTATTCCATCTTGTAGGAACATCCAACTGCAAAGCTGATTTGGCTTCCACCTCAATAAGTTCAGCAAGATCTCTAAATTTTTTTAGCCTTGCAGGGGAGTTCCTAACCCATCTAACTGCTTCCCTAACCCTCTAAACTGAAGTATCAAAAAACTTCAACCCATCTTGCACCACCAGATTCAGAATGTGGGCTATACACCTCATGTGCATGTACTTAGACCTTACAGAAGTGGTACCCCAAGACATCAACTTACTCTTAAAAAATCCCATGGCAGTATCATTGGAAGAGGCATTGTCAACTGTGACAGTAAAAACATTCTTAATACCCCACTCAACCAGACAAGTCTCCAAGGCCTTGGCTATATACTCTCCCCTATGAGATGAAACAGGGACAAAGGCTATGATTTTTTTGTTGAGCTTCCACTGATCATCAATGAAATGTGCAGTAATGCACATGTAGTTTATCCTCTGTACAGAGGTCCATGTGTCAGTGGTTAAGCTGACTCTTTGGGAGCAACCCTTAAAATTTTGTTTAAGGACTGATCTCTCATCTAGGTATCTTTGGAAAATATCCCTTGAAATTGTCCACCTAGAAGGGATTTGGAACCTTGGGCAGGCAACTAGAATAAATCTCCTAAACCCTATCCCATCAACAAACCTAAAGGGCAACTCATCTATTATAATCATCTCACACAAAGCCCTCCTAATGGCTTCCTGATTAAACACCCATGTGCCTAATTCCCCCCATTACCCCTTCAGAACCCCCTGGTGCAGAGGATTAGACAACATTGAAAGTCAGAAGTGACTGCCTTGTATCCTTCGAGTGAGGATTTTTAAGACAGGCCACCATATGATTTCTTAAAGATGAAGTGCCATGTTTTTTTGGCTGACAACAAAAGATCTTAGAACAATATATGCACCTCCCCTCAATCAGATTGTCCTCTTTATCATGTATCTTTACAAAGTGCTCCCACACCCTGGATCTGGACTCAACCTCTTTTCTCTTTTTCTTTGGAACAACAGGAGTCACCTGAGGCTGCTGAGGTATCTCAGTACCTTGAGGTTGTCCTTGTCCCTCCTGAGTTGAAGGTTGTGGTCCAGAACTAGGTTGACGGATGCTCTCCATCTAAAAAGATGGGCATCAAGTCATCAACATTCAGATTTCAAACAATTGTTTGTCATACAGAATAACAGATCAAGCATTCAAGCATACAAACAATTGAAAGAAATCCAGATTCAGACACTTCTTTGTGTCATCATCTATCAAGATTTCATAATATTACATTTACATATTTACATTATGCACAAATAGTTAAAGAACATTTAAGGGTCATACATCCATAAACATATTCACAAAGAAATCCAGATTCAGAAACTTTATCCAGTTCATCATTATCTGGATTTCAGTTAAGGGCTTCCACCATTTCACATTTAAGCCTTTAACTATTTAAGGGACATCACAATTCAGATTCAACCATAATATATCAGAATATAACACATAAATCACAAATATAGAACTAGGGTTTGGGTTTAAAACAGCTTCCACCAAAATACATCAGAATATAACACAAAAATCACAAATATAGAACTAGGGTTTGGGTTTAAAACAGCTTCCACCAAAATACATTAGAATATAACACATAAATCACAAATATAGAACTAGGGTTTGGGTTTAAAACAGCTTTCACCAAAATACATCAGAATATAACACATAAATCACAAATATAGAACTAGGGTTTGGGTTTAAAACAGCTTTCACCAAAATAGATCACACTATAACACATATATCATCATATAACACAAATAGATCAAAATACAGTGAATAATCATAAATATAAAAACTAGGGTTAGCGATTTACTTGTTTTCCCCAAATACTCCCCGGAGAACAAGGGTCTCTAACCAGTAATCACCAGAGAGAAGGGCTTCCACCACTCTAAGTCTCCAACGGCCACCGGAGAATCAGACACAGCCAGACAGTGCACAAGTCTCAACGACTCAACGAGTAAGTGAGTCACTAAGATTAGAGAAGAAGAGAGGACTCTGAGAGACTGAGATTCTGAGAGTATGAGAGATTGAGAGTATGAGTCACAGTCTCACACTCTCACAGAGAGAATCGGAGATTCGGAGTAGAGAGAAGTCAGAGAGAATGAGAGATTGAGAGAATTAGGGTGAAGGGTCTCAGCAAACCCTAGGAAAGATCGGATAGTTCGGGCGGGTCGGATGCGTTTTTTGCCTACCCTATCCGAACCACGTAATCCGGCGTCGTTTCACTTGGCGGATCGGACTTGTGATGTCGGATTCGGCTCGGGTTCGGATGGGTTGCAAGTTGCAACGGGTATCGGGTCGGGCGGTTTTTTCGGGTAGGGTCGATTTTGCACAGCCCTAGCTCCGCTCCTAGTCTTATCAAATGACAGGCTTTAGCTTGGCCGAGGCCTACCTAGTGTGTGTATTTTTTACTAATATTCATGTCTATATAAAAAAAAAATGTATGTTAAGTTATTTATGTATATTATATTAAAAATGTACTAGTAATTAGAACATTATATAAATAATTTGTTATTTATTTATGGATTAATTCATTATGGATTAGGGCTTATTACATTATTAGTTATTAACTTATTATTGTGTTTAACAATTTACAAATGTATTAATGTAATTGTTGGTCCCGAAAGGGTGGTGAGAAGTCTAGAGGGGGGGTGAATAGACTTCTCTAACTTTTCAAACTTTCTTCGAAAACACACAAAGCAAATAACACTTTGGTAATTTCAACTCTAAGTAACAAGCATCAACAAGATAAACAACTTAGAGTGTGCAGCGGAATAGGTAGCGGTAAAGTGTTATGCTTAATAGTGCGGTGCTCAAAGATAGATTCTAAACATGCAACACGTTAGAAACACTTGATATGGTTCAAGGATGATGTACGCAAAGTTTGGCTTGCATGCAAACGTGGGAACTATCAAACCCAGACCAGATAAAGATATGCGACAAATCGTAATCGGGTTAGTTCACAGTTAGAATAATCATGCACAAAATATATGAGCAGTAAGTAAATAGAGAGAGAGAGAGAGAGAGATTTATAGTGGTTCAGAGATGGTGTAATCCTCCTAGTCCACTCTTCTCCTTTCACTTCAAGGAGGAAATTCACTATTCTTCGATCACCCAGATACAATAGTGAATAAGTGTCCACCGACACTTCTCCGAGTGCTTCGCACAAAGCTACACTCCTCCAAGGTTTTTCGAAAGCTCCTCTTGTTACTCCGCCTTCCCGAGTACTTCGCACCAGGCTGTACACCTACACCACGAGAACTACGCACAAAGCTACGCTCTCACAGGGTTTTCACAAGCTCCTCTTGTTACTCTGCCCTTTACACCGAGTGCTACGCACAAAGCTACACTCAACCAGGGTTTTTCACTCTCTCTAGTTACTCCGCCATCTTTCTACACTCAGTAGAGAAATCTACAAAGAGATAAAAAATTTCTCTCACTCAGACTTGAATTCTTTCGTATATAGCTCAATATATCACTTGATGATTGATTGGATTTTCTTCGTATTCAGCTTTTTTTTCAAGTGTCTATTTGTCAAATTTCTTGATAAGATCTCTTGTGTACTTGGCTTGATTTATGAAAATTCCTTCTTCAAGTTGCTTGACTTGCAGTCCCAAAAAGTAGTTTAATTCTCCCATCATACTCATCTCGAACCTATTCTGCATGAGCTTAGAAAATTTCTCACATAAAGATTTATCAGTACTTCCAAAGATAATATCATCAACATAAATTTGTATTAATAAAATGTGATTATTTTCTTGAATTCTAAAGAGGGTTTTATCGACTAGACCTTTGGTGAATCCACAACTAATTAAGAACATTGACAAGGTGTCGTACCAAGCTCGCGGAGCATGTTTTAACCCATACAATGCCTTCTTTAATTTGTAGACTTGATCACCAACGTCTTTTACCTCAAAACCGGGTGGTTGTTCGACGTAAACTTCTTCTTCAAGTAAGCCATTAAGAAATGCGCTCTTTACGTCCATTTGATATACGATGAAATTCTTGTGCGCTGCATATGCTAGGAATATTCGGATTGCTTCGAGTCGTGCGACGGGGGCGAATGTCTCATCAAAATCAATGCCTTCTTCTTGTGAGTATCCCTTCGCAACTAATCTTGCTTTATTCCTAACAATGACGCCGTCTTCGTTTGCTTTGTTCCTAAAGACCCATTTAGTGCCAATTACATTTTGGTGCGTTGGTCTTGGAACAAGTTTACATACGTCGTTGCGCTTGAATTGATCTAGTTCCTCTTGCATGGCATCTATCCAACTTGGATCGGCTAAAGCTTCGTCAATATCTTTTGGCTCCAGTTGTGATAGAAAGCATGAGAACATTGCATCTCTTGTTGATACATCTTGTTGTTGGTTCCTAGTAGATGACCGTGTCTTTACTCCGTCCCTCGGATTTCCGATGGCTAAGTCATGTGTGTGACTTCTTGGCCATTTTCGATTTGGTTGGAAACTTGTTGGATTCTCAGAGTTTCCTTCTTGTTGGAATATTTGTTGTGATTCCACTTGTTGTGAATTGTTGACGGGTGCATCTTCGGGTTCATCTACTGGAATTTCTTCCGTTGGAATTCCGGTTGCAATTTCGGTTGTAGGTGTGCGTGATATTTCGGGTATCATATTGGATATTGCCTCAATTTGGTGAGTACTCATATCACTTGATTCTTCTACTTCCTGCAACATATTATCTTCCAACATATCGTTAGAAATAATTAAATCACGATTACCTTCACTATTTTTGCCATTATTGTCGTGATTTTCATCGAACACAACGTGAATCGATTCTTCTACCACCATTGTTGATTTGTTGAATATTTTATACGCCTTGCTGGTGGATGAATATCGCAAGAATGTTCCTTCGTCCGCTCGCTCGTCAAAAGTCTTTAATTGAGACTTTCCATTAACAAGTACAAAACATTTACAACCAAATGTATGAAAATAGGTGAGATTGGGTTTTCTCCCTTTCCATAATTCATATGGTGTTTTGTTATAAGACTTGTGGATTAGACTGCGATTTTGAGTATAGCACGCCGTGTTAATCGCTTCTGCCCAAAATCTTTTTGATAGTCCGGCGGCTGATATCATGACTCGTGCGGCTTCTTTGAGTGTTCTATTTCTTCTTTCAGCTACGCCATTTTGTTGCGGCGTTCGTGCGGCAAATAATTGATGTAAAATTCCTTGTGAATTGCAGTACGATTGAATCACTCTGTTCACGAACTCTGTTCCTTGATCGGTTCGTATTGTTGCAATCTTCATGTCTTTTT